AATCTGACCTCCTGCATAGTACAGGCCATAGCATTTCACCCAGTAATGACTGTTGTGCTGGGAATTATTCTTTCTTATTACCATTGATCAAAAGAGGCTGGAGGGAGGGAGAGACAGGGTCACTGCCCAAATCCATTCTGAGAACAGCATCCCTGCCACCCATCATTTTCCAGACACTCGTTACAGAGCTGGCCACAAGTATTGCACGCTCGCTGACCATACAGCTTGGAACATAAAAGGTGATAGGTTTTTTTTGGCTCATTTTCCTGATTGTTAAAATGAATTAGCTGGATTCGCACTGCCTGGTCCTGGACTGCAAATCCATGCAGCGTTAGAGCTCAGGTTTCTTGGTCCAGGGCAATGTTGCACCATGTGAAGACATCCAAGGGCTTTTTCCCCCGGGTCTTTTTTCCCCCGTTAGGATTCGCCCACTTGTTGGATCTACTCCATGCCCCATGAATTGGCACCAGAGGTTATCACCCAGATGTGGAATCAAATTCATATCACTTATCTTGCTGGGATCCTTTGGCCCCAGCTGACTTCCTGCCCCTGGGGTGGGGGGCTGGACTCAATGATCTTTGAGGTCCCTTCCAGCCCTAATGTCTATGAAATCTATGAATTCATTTTAATAGACACATCTCCATAATGTAGTATTAATTCCTTGTCTACTGTTTTCTATTGCCTCCCCCATCAGCCAGATGAGTGGTTCTGAGCAGGTATTACCAGCTGCTTCCCTGCTTTTACACCTGGCATGTTATAGCATGCGCCCGGTGCTTTGGATATTTTCCCTTGTCGTTGCAGGTGACGGTCTGAAGTGGCCGTTTTGGGCATCCTCAGATGTGTTCAGACCTGAGCTTTTGGTTTGGGCTTATCCCCAGTGACTATTTCCATTCCCTTCCCCATTGGAAGCTTTCTGTTCCTCCTCCAAAATAGGAACAACCCCCCCCCATGCCCCAAACTTGAAGAGCCAAGAGACAGGAATATAGGAGAAGCAAGTGGGATTTTTTGCTGTTGACTTCAGGGAGAGCGAAATCGAGGCGAGAGGCCAACCTTCAGGGGCAGGATTTTCCCTTGGGCTCAAGAAACCCAGCCAGCCCTTTGTGCTCCTTGCTCGGTTCCTGCCTCTTTTTGTCACTGCAGCCACCATGCTAAACTAATTATGCAATTTCCTAGCGCATTTGGAAGCTTTTTTGGTTTCAAAGAAGAAAGCGGTCAACGCTCACGGAGTCACATGGGGGAGGGAACACCGCAGAAATAAATACCAGGGGGACATTCACAGCCCCAAATCCAGGCCTGGCCCCTCCCGAGGCAGCTGACTTTTCCAAAAACGGTACCGAGAACCCGGGAGGGGTGGTCATGACAGCTCCACAACGTGGATTTTATAGCTCGTTTGCTGGGTTTGCTCTTCCTCTGTGTGGGTTTCTGGTTATGTGGAGATGAGGCATTTGGGGCAATTGGTTCCAGTTTCAGTTCCAGCCTATTTATTTCTATTTTTATCAAGCAGAGAGAGTGCTTTCCATGCCGGCTTCCTCAGATAAATGTCATGCTTCTCCCCTAATTATGGGAATGTGTCACAACCATTATTTATCCTCACAACTTCTATGGGTAAGAGCGGATGGGATCATGATTATTCCCATCCTAGAAAGGAACTGAGCTTAGCAATATGAAGTGACTCACTCAAAGTCAAATCCAAGGGACTATTTGAGCAGAGGGGAATTAAGACTCAGATTTTCTTAGTCCCCATCTTACTACAGGAGCTTTCTCCCAGTAGTTTCTCCTTCCCAGGCATTGCATCAAATAACAATGGAAAACTCATCCTAGAAACAGCAGAGATGTTTCACGCTCGATATTTCTTTTTTGAACAAAACCCCTTTTTTTCCCCTCCAAAATAAACATTTGCAAAAGCTTCTGTATGATCAGGTGGTTTACTCTGGAAAAAGAAAGAAATCCGTACTGTTGAGAAGTTCCCCTCTCCGCAAAACTTGTGTTTGCCCCAAACTGAACATAAAACAGGTCTTATAGTTCTCCCATCATTTCCAAATGCAAATATTTTGACTTTTTTGAGAAATTGGGGGGGGGGGGGAGATAGACATTTCTGACAAACTGGGCAAATGCCAAAGAAAAATGTTGGTGAAAATAAAAAATAGTTTTATTTTTCTCCTTTTTTCTTCTTTGGAGGGGCAAGAAAAGCATTTCCAGCTGTATCTATTCTTTGTCTTACTACTCTGACCTTCCCCCTCTCCCCAAATTTTACTTGAATGATAATCTTGATTTCCCTGGATGGGTGATGGCAGAGTTGCCAAGTGGACACAGCAATGAATTCTGGGAGCTGCTCCATGACCTGCTGGTGGCCTCCTGCGTGCCCATGTCAGGCCTGTGCCTCAGTTTCCCCATGTGTAAAACAGTGATCATGGTAATGACCCCCTTTAAACATACTGATGAAAACCAAAGTATAAGGTCTCCACTGGTGGGATGTTTGGCATCTCTGTCTTTCACTGATTCTGCATCTTACCAGAGACCATTTTTCATGATTTGCAATTTTGCTCCCTCTGCACGTAGCAAGGAAGATGCTTTATGCAAGGGAGCCTTTATTCCACCATTCTGTATCGTCGGCTCAAATCCGTCTGCAGGGAAAAATGAACGCTGGCCTCTGGAGACTGGTATAAAATTTAGAGCAGGTTCAACATCATGGAAACCATGCTATAAGACATGCTCTGATGGCCACTTCCAATCAGCTCAAAATGGGCATGAGCTGAAGATTGAGTCCTAAGCAACCCTGCAGGCAGCAAGGCTAAGGGCCAAAGAGCTCACAAGTGCTAAAGGAGCATCTAAGCAGAGCATGAAATCCTCTAAGTCAGGTTAGAAGCAGGTTGGTGAGGCCATTTAGTAGACAAATCAACTTGCTTCTATTAAAGATACTCCCTCTGGGGGGCAAAAAGATTTCATTCTCTAGGGTGTCCGGTCTAACACTTTCAGAGATGCTAAATTCACATGAAAAATGCACCAACTACACAAAAATGTGCATGCTTCTGAAATAAAACCCTCACCAGTGCTTTCAGTCAGTGAGATAGAGCTGGGAGGTAATTTAAACTCCAAAGATTAATTATTGCTAATTATTCAGATTATGGTGGACTCTCACTGTCCCCACTGAAAGGCTGGGATAGACACTTAAGACATTTCCTGCTGGCAAAGAGTTTCTGTTATAAAGACACTAGAAGGAAATGGCAGAGCAGGGGAAAAAAGAGCCCAAGAAAGATCTCTTCCTACTTCTTCCACTTGTTACCTCAGCCAAACTGTGCCTCAGTTTGCCCTTCTTTAAAATGGGGATAACAACAATGGTGCATTCAAAAAGCATACTCTCAAGGCATCTGGGTGAAGAGTGCTGTGTAAAATCAAGGTATAATTATTAACAAACCTTCAGGAAAATGAAATTAGTAGATCTCTATAACTCCCCTGTCATTAAAGCAAACCGTATGCGAATGGAAAACATCAGAGCGGAATAACATTCGGGCTAATGCAGCCTTCCACAATGAAATGCAAATGGGTGGAAGGCAGCAATGCCAAACAAGTTTTATTTTCCAGGGTTTCTTTCCCTTCACCTCCTCCCTCCCCTTCTTCAATAGCAGAGGAGTACATTGGCTTGATGAAAAGGAGGAAACTTGCCCAACTCCTGGTCTTAATGAATCGCACTCCTAAAAAACAACAACAGAATGCTCCGCTCGAGCTGGCCGGGTCTCAAGATGCTTTCAGCTTAGCTAGGCCCTCTGCCAGGCTTGCTTAATTTGTTTGCCTGAGGTTAGTACCCCGGTATTCGTCAGTCGATTTTGGACCGGGCCGGGTCTCGGATCCAGCAGATCAAAGACAGAGAGGCTGGTGATCACCTCTTTGCATTGGACTTAAGTGAGGCTTTCCTCCAGGGAAGCCACAAAGCCATTTTTCATCGGCTTCCCCAAAGCTGCCCCCTTGTTTGCTTGGGAGACAGAAATAGCTTCTGCTAAGAGGACGACAAGGTTACACATCCTGAGCTGTCCTGGTGAGTCAACAGGCCCGGAGCTGTGAGCTTTAGCTGCTTATTTGACAGCTGGGTGTGGAGCGGTGATCAGGATACACTGTCTGACGGGGCCTTGCTTTCATGCATCTTCACGTGGCCTAGGCACTGAAATAGCTCCTCCACCATCACCTCGCTAATGGTTTCCTCTCTTGTTGCTTTTCAGGCATCCTCATCCTGACCAGAGACACCCTCATTAGCTCTCTCCCCAGAGGTTTCCTTGGGAAGAAGGGAAGGAGGGGGATAATGAGCATCACCAGGACCAGAAGGACACGGGGAAAAAGTGCATAAAGCAATGTTCAGCCAGAACATCCCAGTGTCCATCTCCGTGCGTGTCTGGGTGTGTTGATCCACATTTTTGGCTCCATCTAATCTCTCCTTCTTTATGCAAACCATTCGCCGTCGTATCTAAGTTCAGAGACAAGCAGGGGGTGGGAAGGAAAAGGGCTGATTTGTATTTCTTTGCATCTTCTCCAGCCGCTGGGTCTGTGCAAAGTGGTTTACATCAGAGCCATTTTGATTGGTGGTGTTTGGCACCAGACTTGATATGTAATGAAATCCCAATCAGGGATCGTCGTAGAGATGGTATCTTTTATTAGACCAAGAAGATTTTTGCAAAAAAAAAAAAAAATCTTTCATTGCAAATTAAAATTGAAATGTAATTGCAAATTAAGTTCTTTAATTACACATTCAAATTGAAATTGAATTGCAAATTAATTTCTTTAGTTGCAAATTAAAATGGAATTTTTTTTGCAAAAATCTGGTTGGTCTAATAAAAGATATCATCTCTACTACGAGTCCTGATTGCCTTTTCCTCTAGGCCAATATGGCTACAACCTGGATACATGAAATCCCAATACATTTTAGGATTTCCTCTGAGTTTCCCACCCCCTTTTTTTTCAGTGAAAAACCAAACCAAAAATATCTTTTGTTTTTTGCTCTTTCTGTACAGATGTAAAAGACAAAGAAGAATGATGCACTTGGTCTCCAGTGCTGGGCACTGAGAAGGAAAGCAGAGATCTTCCATGCAGCTTCACGTCAACAGGATTGTATTCTCCACACCCAATGCAAACCCCCGTCTAGGATGCAGGAGGAGGAGACACTCAGCATCACTGAGCCCTGCACGGTTGAATCTGGAACGGGCTTCCAAGGCAGGTGGTGCTAGGAACTAGGCCTAGGCTGCAAGCTTAAGTAGCCAAGCTTTGTGTGTTGGTACTAGAGGCCCCAGGTAGGAATGCAGCAGGGAAGTCACAGGAGCTGTAGATAAATGCCAGCAGAAAATCTCCTCCTGACATTGATCTTAGTAACTTCAGTGACCCTTAAAAGCAGGAAGACTCCAGAGCCCTTGCAGCAGGGTGGGACTTCCCACTGACGTCACCAGGCTCTCACACCGGGGTGCGATTCTTCACGTCCCGTCAAACCAAACCCTGAAAGACTGGGTGGTTTCCTGTTTGAGTTGAGCAAAGCAAACAAGGGAGTAGCAGAGGCTAAGACTAGGGCTCCACCATGCAGCACAGGGATGAGTTCAGGCTTTGCAAGAAAAAAAAAACAACAACAACTCATCACACATGTCTTCCTCTATCTGCAATTTTTGCATTTTCTTTTGGGGGTTCATAAAATGTCCAGAAACATCAACCGTCATCTTATGGTTCAAGTCAGGCTTGGGTTTCAGGACTCCCGGGTCCTTTCGCCAGTTCTACCACTGACTTAAGTGATGACGCTTAGCTTCAGTGCTCTTCCAGCTGGATAAAATGGGTATATTAAGCTGAATAAAATGGGTATATTAATGCTTGCTTACCTCTCGGAGGGGTTGTCATGCTCACATAATTAAGGCTGGATTGTGGCTGATCAATAGGTGGGAGAGGAAGGCAGGAGAGCCCAATATTTTCTTTTTATTGGGACCCAGTTGTGCTAAAAACTCTACAAAAACATAATAAGGGATCAGCTCCTCTACCAAAGAGCTAGTTTAAACAAGCAAGGTGCCCAAGGTCAGCAGAAAACCATGAACGAAGCCAAAGGCAATAGGCTCCTAGGGCAATACCTCAAATTGGGGCATGGGCAGCCCATGCGAGGCATGAGAAAGGCTGGGGAGGGTATAGGCAGCACTGGGCAGGAAGCAGAAAGCAGAGCAGCAGATCGGGCAGAGGAAGGAGATCAGAGTGGCACTTGGGCAGGGTGTGGGGCTGATTTGTGGCATGCCTGCCAAAAGGGTTGCCAATACCGTAAGTGCTAAGTGTCAAGCACAGCTCCGGTGCCTGGTCTCACCTGCTCGCCTTTCCCCGAAACCATTCACAGGAGCAGTATTTTGAGCTGCGGATGCAGTTGCAACACAAGACGCCAAAGCCCCCACTTCAGTACAACAGTCTGCTAATCTCATGCCAGTTGTACTGTATCCATCCATCTCCTGACTGCATTTGTCAAAGAAATACCAAGTTATCACTTGCTAAATCAAACATGACTTCAGTGTCTCAGAATGAAGGGCTGGTTACTCATCGTGTTTACTCTTTCCATCCAGATCGTCGCTTGGGTCTGCGTACACCTAACCCATCATGCTGGCTAACCACACCATATAAACCAAGGCGAATGGCCTTCTCATGTGCTAGATGTGTTAGGTCATGTAAACCCTTCCCAAGGGGTATAATTAGGGATAACCACTCCCACCTTCCGCAGGTTGAACTTGACAAGGCTTGCACGCCTGCAACCCCCCAGTGACACGAGTAAACAGATTGCAACGGAGTCTGCCCGCAGGGCCGGGGTGGCATCCCGGTGCCCCGCGCCAGGTTCTTGGGTTGGAGACGTGACAGCCAGCTGGGCCATTCGCATGTGCTGGGAAACCCTTGCTATTCTTGCATTGACTGCATAGAACAATTTAACATGGGACCTGAAGCAACTTGCATTACTGTGCTATTAAATATTGCTGGGGGGGAAAAAAAATGTACAACTTTTCCATTTATTGCCATTACATTTTAGGATTTCCTCTGACTTTTTTTTAGTGACAAACCAAATGGAAAATATCTTTTGCTTTTTGCTCCCTGCTCTCAATTTTACAGGGTGAAATGGAGCCCTAAAGTTGACCAATTATTTGGGGAAAACGGGGGAGCGATGGTTTTAAATTTTTGGATGAAATTGAAAAAAAAAACCCGCAAAGAAAAGGAAACATCTGGGAAGAAGTCATTTAGGACAAATAACAAAGTTGCTTTTGCTTGGACCATATTTTTTACATCTTTTTTTAACCAATTGTGATCATTGGGCTTATTCAATGACTGTCTGTAGTAGAAAGGGTAGCCCCAATTCCCTCCAGCCCAAGGTTTCTTTCCTTAGGTCCCAGCCTTCTTCTTTTCACAGTTTCAAGATGTTTTGTTGAATTATTTCAGTGGTCTTCTGCTTTGCTCTGGTCTCTCAATGTTGCTCAGGACACCATTCTTTCAATGCACCACATTCACTGCTTCTGTTCTCATGTTATAAATGAATGTCTCAGCTCTGTGGGCAAGGGGGCTGGGGACCAGCTGTGAGTTCAAGCCTGGGATTGTGGCCCAAGCTTGGAAATGGGGGTCTTTCTGGGTTTGAGAAATTTTGAGGGGGCGTTTAATAGCAACCTTCAAGTCCCTGCAGGGTAGTGCCAAAGAGGATGGAGCTGGACTGCTCTCAGATGACAGAACAAGGAGCAACGAGATCAAGTTGCAGCCTCAGGTTAGAGGCTAAATTTATTCACTAGGAGGGTAGCAAAGCACTGGGCTACCCAGAGAGGTGGGGGAGTCTCCATCCTTGGAGGTTTTGAAGACCTGGGTAGACAAAGCGTTGGCTGGGATGATGTAGTTGGGGCTGGTCCCGCTTGGAGCAGGGGAGTGGACTAGATGTGACCTCCTGGTGTCTCTTCCAACCTGAATTTTCTATGATTCTAGCATAATTGAATGTCAAAAAACTTTCCATCTCAATCAGGGCATTTCAACCCGTTGACCAATTCAGGTCAAGATTTAGTAAGCTTCAGTGCTTTGACAGCATCGGAGACATATTAACTGTGGCTTAGATGGACCTCTGGTTTAGTCTAGGACAGAAATGCCCATGTTCTGGTTTCTTGTCTCAGACCCACATGGCTACCAAGTACACCCATGTTCCTCTGTCAAACTTTCCAGCATGTCTCTGATCTTTACTGTAAAAAGTCCTCACTGTTTAAGAGCTTCTCCACATTTAAGGTCCCAAAGTGATGACCTCTTAAGGCGACCAGCTTCAAAGGAGAGTTCCTAGTTTCCTGCTTATATGTGGAGTTGAACTTGAATCCAGTCCAAAATAAGGTGCCAGGGTTAGCTACAGTGATGCAAGACACTGTTTTAAGTTGTCATGAGACGTCTACGGTAGGACAACTTCATCAGCACATCTACAAATAACAGCAATAAATGATTTACGTTTAATGTTCTGATTTACAGGTAAAAAAAAAAAAAGGGCTAGGCATGAGCTCAGAAAAAATGTACTCTTCATTTATTTTATTTAATTTTGTGTCCTCATAAAAAAATCCAAGGCAGCATCCAAGGAGAAAAGTAAGGACCATGCCAAGGGTGTTAAATACCCAACTTACATCAGTAAAGAACTTGCTCTTAATCAACCATCCACCTGAACTACCTGGGGGGAAAGAAGAAGTGTGTGGGAACATGTTAGGACAGACCTGGAGAAGAACTGCCATAAAAACAGGATGCCGGAAGACAGGCAACTACGCTTCTCGGTTTCAAAAGCCACTTGTTAAATGTCTCCTGCTGCAGCCCTCTCCTCCAAAACAGCCAAAACTATTCCTACTGAGCAAGTCCACCTCACAGCGAGAGAAGTGCAAAGGGTTTCATAGCCTAATTAACTTACAACATTCGTTTCTAAATTAGCCTGCTTGGAAATGTGATCGGCACCAGTAATTTTCCACTTCATGACATGCTTTATAATAAATAAATAAAAAAAAATCATAAATAGCAATAGCATTAGATCATCTAGGCTTGAGAATGAACCTCAGTCTCAAGTATTGTATGGTACATCCCTAAAGCTCTATGTTACAGTTTTGCCATAATTCAATTATTGCTTATAAGAACTTTCACTTGGTAAAAAAAGAAGAAAAAAACAATTATAATAATTCCATTTCACTGTTTTCCATAGGTTCATCGCCAAGTTGGCTAATAACTAAGGCAGAAAAAGGTATGTATTGTATACTCGCTTAAAGCTTGGCTTGAAATGACCTTTTATTGTCTAATTTTTTTTTCCATACCCAGCTTGGCTACTCCAAACCAACTCATTGCCAACTTTCTACAGTGTGTTATTTTCCTACATGCTGTATGTTAAAAACCATTAACGAGGCTGCCCCCCAAATGTTCAGCGACATGTTTGCATGCACAAAAGTAGAGAAGGCTGGGCTGTAATCTGGACTGACTCCCCCCAATCAGCCAGGAACGCCCAGCTGCTAATACCAAAAAAGACTAATACCAAAAACTGCCTGTATTTCGCTTTCTTTTCTCTCTCCCATTGCAAGGTAGCACAATGCTGAAGGAGCCTTAAAATGCACAACTGCAACAAATACATCTGACTCTCTGCATCCCTGTCCAGCCACGCTGGAGTCAGCCGTATGATGTTAATATAAACCTCCACTGTCAGATTTTAGTGGCGCAGCTCAATGAGGTGGCACTTGTCATCATCACTCACTGGGAGCTGCGGTCTTGTCTGCAACTCCTACATGCTGCCTGCTCTCGCCTGCCTCCCTGGATCATTGTAACGTGCTCCGTGCTGCTCACGGGCAGAGCCGAGGCTCGTTTGTAAAAGAGGAGTCAATCAGTGAGGGCAGAACTGACATCAGCCTCAGCGAAGTCTGTCGTTTTGTCTCCTATTGAATGAAATGGCCCTTATATCCGTGAGAGTCCATTCGGATAACATGATAAAGCCATGCATCTGTATTTAAACTGACTTTTTTTTTAAAGCGCTCTCTCTTCGTCACAACATTTTAGTGTATTTTCAAAATCCCTTTGAATTATCCTTGGGAACATTTCTAATTAGAAGAAAGAAAGAAATTTTAGGGAAAATTGGATGCCTGCTTTGCCAGAATGTAGCTTTTTCTTTTGTTCCCCCCATTCTGTTGGCTTGCACGAGAGAAATGGGCTAGTTTCATTTCGGTTTATATCTAGCTTCATTTTCTGGCTTTTACGCTATATCATAAAATTGTTCCTCTGGGTTTCAACAACTCCAGTGTTGTTTAATGCATTTAATATTCCCACGGACAGAGGATGACTATTCATTTCAACAGCAATTCAGAGAGCAAATCTTAAGACATAAAAATGAGAGAATTTTACATGGGACCAAATGCAGCGGGTAGAACCGGGGCTGCAAATCCTTTGTAGCTCAGGATCTACCAGCTGCATTTGGTCCCGTGTAAAATTCTCTCTTTTTTTTGTCTTAAGAGGTAAGTTTAGCAGAGGAAATGAAAATATACAAACTAACTGCTATTCACTCAGACTATGGGGAAGATAAGAACTGTTTGAGACGTAAGCTAAAATATTTGTCCTTATTAAAA